AGTTAATATTAACTACTTAAATACTGGAGAATTATTTAGCACGATTGAAATAATAAGTACCTGTGTCATCATAATTAGTGTTAATCTCTTCTTCTTGATAGATAACTATCAAGTTCATAATTCTTCTAAGGTCTGTCATGATTCATGATAATAAAACCATGACCTTATTATAAAGAAGGGTAATTATTTTCCTCTTCACTCTTGCAAGTGGGCAATGATCCAATTCCTTGAAAAAGAATATAAAAATATCTAGCTGGAAAGTAAAAAGAAAGTCCAAGACTCATTTTTCTCTTATACATTTAAATTGCTGTCTTGCCTGATTCTGGCAATGATACGATAGATATAGATTTTGCAAGCATATTAATAACTGGAGGCTTATCTTAAACTCACAGAACTTAAAAGACATATATCCATAGAACCAAAGGCAGATGTAAAGTTAATCAAAGTTCTGAAAAGTCCTGCTATTTTTAGCAGAGTTTTTTTCACTGAGATTAAAAAGAGTTCAATAATAATCAATACTTCAAGAGCTAATTCTAAAAGCTCCTTGCTTCTCACATAAAGAATTACAAGAGCATAGAACTTCAGGTGCTCAAGTAGAAAGATATCAAAGTTTGAAGGCATATTAAATTAACAACTAGGCCTTTATTTTTTTAAAGAGTGGCAGGTTATACTTTCTTAGGTGTGGAAAACTGCATATTGAATACCTTCAGATGGAATTATAACTGAGGAATTTATGGAAGTAAAAGACTTGATGTAGAACAAGATCTTCTCTTAAGAACAAATTTTAAATAAATCTACTTTAATTGAGCTTGCATTGGCTAACCATTTTAGTTCTCTCCATAGTTAGGACCCATAACTACTTGAAATTATACTTACATTATGCAGTTGTCTTAGGACCTTGAAGCTGGGAGAAAATAACTTTCCATATGTTATGAGAGCAACATGGTTCCTCAAAAATCCTAAATAGAACTCTGCCAAGTAAGAGACTCATCTTGGAATCTACCATCTACCATTATTTTTAATTCTAAAAGCCTTTAAGTAAACTTTAAGTTTGCTTAAAACAACCTTTTGTTGCAAGGTTTGTGGGAAGTGGTATCTGTCTGTCTGTTAATCAATGGATTGATCTTATCTATTATGTAGAGGCCTCCAGCTAAGCCTAGCACCGAAGCAGTCCAGTTTTATTTGAGTTACACTGGTAGGATATGAACATCAGTTAGGTTGTGTCAGATCCTTAGATTGATTTGTCATTTAAAACAAAATTTTGTGAATCTTTCATTCATAAAACAAAACAACTGTATATGTATCAGTGGCTCTTAACCAGAGATGGTTTGCTCCCCACCCTTCCAAGGAATACTGGGCAATGTTTGGAGACATTTTTTGGAGACCACTGAAGGGCATTTTGGTGTCCTCTACTGGGCAGAGGTCAGAGAGACTGATAACATCCTAGCAATACACAACAGACCCCACAACAGAAAATTTTTCAGTCCAAAATGTCAATAGTGCCAAGTTTGAGAAATGCTGACATACATGAATCAAAATGTATTCGAAGTCAAATTAAACTGATTTTACAGATCTGCTTTTCTTTCTTTCCATTAATGTGAATAATTGTTTATCACATTCTAGATAGCATGCAGTACCTAATAGACTATTGACTAAGGATTTCCCTAGGTTTAAGCTACAGACTAAAATAAACCAATTATTTTTGCCTCTATTAACCACTTAATTAACTGAAACACTGAAGGATAAATATTTCCCTAACTTAAGAAAATAGCATAATATGGAAATTATTTAACTTATTCAGTTATAAAAAGTTTTCATTATAATTTGTAAATCATTTTTTATATATTTATTTGTTGGTTGGTTTGTTTCCCTATGTTGCTTTCATGCTTTGAAATTAGAATGGCGACTCTAATACGCAAGATTTTATCTAGAGTGTTATATCACTGGAACACACAGAATAACTTCCGCAGATCATCGTGGAATATCTGGCTGGTAGGACAGAACTCTACATATAAATTCACAATCAAGAAACAGGTATTAGAATGTATTGCATGCCAGTCTTGTGTTTTTAAAATATGCTTTCTCAAAATACTATAGGAGATATTATTGAGAAAAAAGTCTTTTATTCTCTACACTGGTGTTTGTAAAAGCTATACCATAAGATTTTTTAAAAAAAAAATCTATCAAATCAAACACGTGTGCACTTAGTACTGTTTAGATATCAATCACAAGGCTAAACAATAAGACATTATGGAGGTAGACGTAAAAGACATAAAATACTCTCGGCGTTTACATACTGGTAGCAACCAAAGAATTAAAGTATATGGGACAATTCTGAGTAGCACAGGATAGCATTTCACTGTGGTTTTTGTGTTTTTATTTAAATTCCAGTTAGTGAATATACAGTGTAATGTTAGTACTTTGTTTTTAAAATAGGACAACAACCTTCTCATTTTCTTTGCTCTCCTCTAGACGTAGATAGACAGACAGGCAGACTGATAGAGATAACTGGTAGATAATCATTTTAGTAATTGCATCAGTTTGTCAAAATGAAAATATTTATCCTGTCGATAATTTTGAAGGGGTATTATTATATTGTGTCTAGCAAGTAATCACTCTCAGTTTATATATCACTCCTGGAGCTGAGATGTTCAGCTGCATAATTCAAAGCGTTATATCCAGTACTGTGTTAAGTATTAAAAATACAATTTAAGCCAGATAAATTAGTCCTTCTGATGAAAGAAATTAAAACTGCAGGTGTTTGACATAAATGTATAACACAATTTTTTTCATTTGATTAGTCTTAACGATTATTATGATTATTCTTATGTAATTGTGTTCTATTCCAATTTATTAATATCTACCACTTACGAAGGGGTTGCTTTGTGTTACACACTGTTGTGCCTGCTGAAAAACAAAATTCAACTGAGTAAATTCTGAAGATCTTACTGACTTGATTTGGTGATTCATGAATTGGGCAGTATCCAATCTAGCAGACAGAAAAAAGCTCTGAGAAGCTGTACAAAATGAAAGACTTTTATAGGCAAAAGGGAGCATGGGTAAGGAAGTTGCTTTAAACAGGAAAGTGGATTGATTATTGCCAGAGGATGGCAGAGATTTACCAGCAGATTACCTACCTACTGTTGGTAAGGTAGTTCCTGACCGACTGGTTTAAGATTCCATTTCTAGGGAGCCCAAGCTGTAATTAACTTCAGTCTCAGATTGGTGATTGGACCTGTTGTCTTACCTTTAACAGACCTCTTTAAATATAATCAAGGAAGATAAATATTGTGATATAAAACCATGTCTGGTTTATAAGCCTGAGGGCCTATGTAAAAATGAGGGCTCTTTTGTTCTCCTGAGAATCAATCTTTGACAAGAATGTATTGACGGACTGCACTGACTTTGGTGTAATTGCCACTTTTTCCCGCAAAAAGGCAAAGAAGAATTTGGAATTCTGGTGGGTGATGAGGAATGATGTGGGAAGAAAGAAAAAAGTCTGAACAATTTGGCAGGAAGCAAGACAGTGAGTTTTGGAAATGGCCCAGAAAAGTTTTAATTGCAAAATATCTAGTATGCAATTTACAGAGTTTTTGCATTTTTGTGAGATTTATATGATCTATCATCTATCACCATCATCATTACCTATGTCATCATCGCCTTCTCTTTAATTTCCCCAAACCCATGTTCCATTCACCAAAATGCATTACATACAAATTCCTTGTGGGAGTCATTTACGTAAATAGAAATAAGGGAAAAGACTGGATTCTACAGGTCGGAGGAGCAGCAAGCCCAGGGTAACGTGAGACAGTCCCCGACATGAACTACACAAGTGGAAGCAGGAACTTAGATTCAAAGCTGACCAGGAGACGGTAGTAAGTAGTCTGACAATTTAGAGGAATCATAGAGAAGTTATTGGACCCTCAATTTATAAGATAAAAATTTGTGCTATATACTGACCACAGAAAAGAAATGGATCACACACACACATATATAATCCCATTTAATGTCATGTTTAGAATCGAACTGTTTTTTTTGATACCGAGTCATGTGAAATAGGAAATCTGATTCACCCTAAAGACCCAGCTCCAGGGAGACTTCCTGAAAGAACCATTTTCAAAGCTCCTGTTTCCCTCTCTCTCACCTAGAAGAGTATCAAATCCCTTCTCTTGTGAATTGCATGGTTATAAGTGAGTTTAATATAAGTCATTTACACATCTACCCTCTCCTGCAGGTATACCTTCAGCTTTTCTCCCATTGCTAGTAACATGAATACTGTTAATCAATGTTAAATGAGTTAATTCACTAGTACCACTGAGGAAGGAGATTGATAATCTGTTGTTGCTATGTTCTTAAAATTTCCCAATGCAGTTTCTTACCTGTATCAGGTACCCAATAAAGACTTACTATATGGATAGTGTAGATATATAAGATTCTGTTCAAATTTCCTCCCACATTTTTGTTCTGGGAAAGGTTATAGGCAAAGTAGCTAGCTATCTTTTCTGTGGGATTCAAAAGATACTAAATGTTGATCTGCCATGAAACTCTTTTCTCAAAGGTCCAGCCAAACGGTAGGGTAGAAAAAGGTGGTGTAGCAGATTTATTAGTTGCCTGACCTTTGGCAAAGCACTTAAATGTTGCAGGTAAATGGCAATTGTGGGTATTTTGGAGGACAGCTGTGGATTTAAATCTGATAAAACACCTAACAGAGTTATAAGCACATGGAAAGGATAGCAACAAAACTTAATCCCCTTTTCATTCCCCACACATATACAACTCTTTGAATAAATGTCAGGACATTTCAGAAGTTCCCCTACGTGATTTTAACGTATTTCTAACATAGTCCGTATACTCAATGACAAAGTTTGAAAACAAGTCACAGTAGCCAGCTGTCACCTGAGTATACAGCTGTAAAGGAATGGGGTATGAATACCAAGTATCTACGGGAAAGTTGTAAAGAGTCTAAAAGAAAACTTGACTCACTGTTTTGGGCCAGCAGTAGGTGATTCTTGGTTTCCAGGAGTCAGCGTGCAGACGCTGGAACCAAGAAGAGAGGGAACATGGGTAAGACACACACAAAAAATCAGGTGAAGGGAGAGATAGGGTGATGAGTTTTCAGAGAGAAACTTAACATAGCACTATTAACCAGAATATGAAAGCACACCATTCCCCCCCGCCACCCCGCAGCTTTATAAACCCATCCTTCTTCTCCTGAGTCCTCCTCAAGCTCAAAGCAGTAGTCAATGAGGTTTAGCGTCTGGCATTTACAGGCATTACACCCCAAGGAGGATGAATGGAAGAGCTGCCTTCCTGCTTCTTCTGCACGTATAACTGGAACTGCAGTTGAAGGGAACAGGAAGGTAAGATTCTAGAGGAAGAAGCAAAAACCAAAAAACCATGCATGCCACCATTATGCCCTCCCTGTCCTGTCTCCACTTTAAATAATTTCCTGCCATAAGGTGGAGCTATATCCTATGGAGAGAACCTCATTGGCTCTAAGATCTGGCAAAAGTCCACTTAGATCATTTTTCACTTGGCTTGTGATTTGTGACTGTTAAGAAGTTAGAATGCATGGCAGCCACCCCCGAAATCCGCCACCAACTGATGCAGAGAGAGTTGTTATTTTGGCGCAGCATAGATTTTAAGGTGGTGAAAAGGTGTGTGAAGGCAAGCAGGACCTCGTTTTTTAGTTTATGCTGTAAACATGGCTTCAGGGGAAACTCTTTGAAGTGCTGAGATCTGAGGTGGAGGGTTTTGAAGCCCCCCTCCCTGAGTAAGTACAGAGAAACCACAGGTATCTGATAGTGTTTGCTCTTGAGTAAATCATCAGTGTGTTGACAAACAAAATAAGTTGTGTTTTTTTTTTAAGTGCTTTATTTAAAAGAGTATATTGTGCTGAATAGGATATTGCTAGAATTTAAGAGGCTGAGTTATATTAGCTGCAAGAGAGGTTTTGCTTCTCGGTTTGTGCCTATGAGACGGATGGCCATGAAAACCCCCAACTGTGTTATGCGTAAAATCCAGCATCTCCACCCAAAGGAAAGAACGATCCCCTGAAGAGAGAGAGCACTGCAGGGTTTCCTGATAACACATCAAGGGTAATCTAGATAAAGGAGAATGGCTCAACAGGAGTGTGTGTTGCATGACTCCCTGGGCAGTGCTCTCCATCTGGAAATCAATTAAAGGGCAAGGTACACCAGCTCATAGTCGGTTTGGGATTTCCTCAGTAGAGATTTGCATAGAAACCTTGCAAACAACTAAAACCTATTGTAAAAATCCAAAGATGGGGTAGGTCTTGGTGGAGAAAAACATCTATCCAAAAGAAAGTGACTAACAATTGGGAAATTGTTGATCACCAAAAAAACCTCATCCAGTGTGGACCTCTGTTTTTCCATATTAAGAACCTAACTCATTTGAACGTGTGCAACATAAAGAGCATATGTAATACGTTGCTTATTATCTTCCTAGGGAAGGGAAGCAGAATTTGCATCTCTGGCAAAATAATTACCTTGAGCTGGTTATTTTTAAGAAACTGCAGACATAAGAAAAGCTCTGAAAACTGAGTAGAAGCTATTCTTTTCTAAGAAGACACATATTTATAAGGAAAATCTCCATTTGTAAGGGTGTCTTCCTCTCTTTACCAGCTAGAGAAGACTGACTAAATCTTTAGAAACTCTTACGGTGGAGAAGGTGAAGACCTAAACCTGCATTAACAACCTTACTCCTGTACACCCTCTTCCCTACTCCATAACTGACTCCACCCCTCACCCCACCTTCTTTTGTCTTCAGATGCAGATGACATCTGAGGTGGTGGCCTGGACCATGTTGGGGAGTTATTTCTTCTTCTGGGATCCCACCCATGTATGTAGGAGGTATACATGTTATTAAACTTGTTTTTCTCCTGTTAGTTTGTCTTTTATAGGGTGTCTCAGACAAGAACCCAGAAGGTAAGAGGGGAAAAGAAAAATCCTTTTCCCACCCTATTCTAGAGTCCTGTAAGATGTGTTGGTATTATTTCATCTTTCCAAATAATAAAATCAACACTCTTGAGGAGATAGCAGGCTTCCCTGGGAACCAGTTGGGACAAATAATGTCACTACTTCCACTTAAATGTTCATGCCAAATAGGGCACTAGATACTTTATATGCACTATCTAATCTTCATTGTAATCATGTGAAGATTAAACTCATGATTTTCATTTTAGTTTTAAATACCTGCCCATAGCCACCCAACTACTTAGTGGTGGAACCAGGAATCCAAACTCAGCAAACGTGATGTCCAAGTTCTCAAACTCCTGCGTGTACCCTCGAAGATGATTTGTTCATTGGCTAGTTGTTCAATAAATGTTACTGATAGTCCTGTGTTTTTGTCTACAGGTTGGCTAACCTCTTTCTTCTAAAAGCTCCCTCTTGGGGCAGGATCCTTATGTATCTGATTCATCTTTGGTTCTTCACAGAGCTTTGTACATTAATAGTTTCTCAAAAAAAAAAAATTTTTTTAATATATAAACCATGGTCCAGCCTGGAAACCTGAACATACAATGACTCATCCTTTTGATTTATATAATATCCCTCCTCTCCCACATCTATTCTTTCTTTTTTATTTCCATTTTACCCTGACAAATGCATGTTTGGTCTTCTTAAAATGCACTTTTGTTGTTGAAATAGGGCTCTCACCCTCTCCCACAGGCCTTTAGTCTTAGAACTTTGAAGGTCTTTCTGCTTTCTCTCCTACAAAACACACCTGTCATGGCTTTGCCTCCTTCACTCCCCTGAGTCTCAGAGCTACAGACTCACTCTGTAGGGGTTGTCCATCCGTCTAGAGCACCTGGGGTTTAAGGTGTAAGCAATTTGACTGTAATTGCTTCTTCCCAGCAGTTACTTTTTGAAGTGGCGAAGGGGGACTTTTGGTTGGCTCTCTTTTTCCATCTACATAAATAGGTATTGGAGTCAAATCCAAGGAGCATGGCGTATTTATCTAGAAATAAATGTTACCCCCCATGATGAGAGCTTTTAGCTACACTTTTATTTGTCTGACTCTTTTCTTGGCTTGTTTCACTAGAAACTTAGTTCACTCTTTCCATTTACATGTGATCTGTTGATTTCCCTGGATGAAATAAAGCAGATTTTTACACTATACTGTTGAAATAAACCACATGTTTTTGTTTTCGTTATTTTTTTCTGTTAGATCTCTGTGTTGAAGTGATCCAACACATCAATGCTGTGTTGGACTCAACTACCATTTCTTAAGCCTTTGGTAGAAAGCATTTCAGATATCCTCCTTTATTATATATTTTCAGTTCCCTCAGATTTTCTTCTCAATTTTTGGTAGAGAAGAACAGGCATGATAGTTTTCAAGACACAGAATGGATGGACCTGTTTGTTCAAACTGTTTTCCTTCTTCTTTATACAAAGAATTGTAGTATGGCCTCAGCTCTCAAGGAAATCTTACATGAGTAACACAATATCTTCACAAAAATTTCAATGCAGAATTTCCAAAGTTCAAAGAAGTGCACGGAGATAAAAATCAAGTACAATCCACAGAAAGTCAGATAGGGGGGTGGGCTATAATGTGTTCCTCTTCCATCATTATATGCTTAAAACACCATTGAATTCTAGTAGGTCCACATAAGTGTCCTGGAGTAAAGTTTGGGGCATGCTCTATTGCACTGGATAGGTCATATATTAGCATGTTCTATGAGAATATAATTGCCTCTGGAGAGAAATTAAGTCAATGCATATAAAAATCCGTGTAATTATATAATTGCACAATGATCCCAATTGATCTAATACAAGTTAAAATCTTGAAAAAAATTAGGAAATGTCATATCATGTAAGCTGCTGAAGAAAACTTTGTCAGTCCCAAAGAGTGGAACTGTATTCATTATGTATAATTATAATAGATTGTATCAGATTTTTAGTTCAATATCTCTCCTTGTGTTATTCATATTTGCTGCCAAGCAGTGCATAGACAAAATAGAGATGCATTGATTTGAATTTAATTTTTTTCCCTTGAAAACCTGATTCACTCTAATAACACACTTCCCTAGCATGCTATCCTTACACTACTCTTACCAATTGAGCAGCTGTCCAATTTATCACTTAAATCAGTATACCTTTAGAAATGAAAGTGGGTACTATTAATAGTTACACGAAGGCAACAGGCATAAACTGAGACTGTTTTTGGAAAACTGGGACATAGAATCAGCATTCTTAGAGCATAGCTGTGCAATCAAGTCACACATAATGTCAGTGTGTCATTTTTCAAGGTCTTGGTGACACCAGACCTAATGTCCTATTACCGTGATGACCAAGATAAAACTTTCAGGAACCAGACATGCCATTACAAATCCAGCCATATTTTTGTTACAATGAATTTTTTTTGGGGGGGGGGGCGGGGGGAGGTTCCTTAAAATCCAGAGAATCTGAGAGAATCTCTGATTGGAGAGAATCTGGATATTCCCAGGAAGAGAGGACGAAGAATTGCTTGGAAGGGTATTAGTTCATCTGATTCCAAGAGGACACATTTCCAGTCTCCTCTGAGAAATCAACAGGAGAGGGAAAAAGAACGTTGTTCTTAGATGATTTTGCTATTCCCTGAACAGCTCTTCCTTGGTCTCCTCTATTCTGTAACTATGCCCTGGGTGACCCCTGGGTATTCCACTTAATTGCATGCCATTTCATCCTTGTTCAGTAATTATACTTGTGCATAGTTATGAGTAAAGTGATTTTCCTATATATGCATTGAAGTTAAATTTTGCTCCTGGGGTTTAGTGCATGTGGCTTCTAGTGGTATCAATAAGGAGCATGTGTGCTTCTTCCTGCCATGTGTGAGAGAAGAATATGGTCAATTACGATAGTGAAATTTACTAAATGTGATGATAAACACTTTTAAAAGCAGCTCAACAAATGATTATGGATTTCACACTTTTACTAATTGCTTCAATTTCTGACTGAAATAAAAATCTTCTACTTGTTTTAGTATTGTGGGTTGGGTATCTCTAGAAAATATTACAAATATCCTGGAAGTATTTCTCACTGTGCATCTCACCCTTGTATTCCAACCTTTTTATTCCTATAAATTGACTGTTTCTGGTTTTCCCCACAGAAAAATTATATGCAGGGCTAAGTATGTTCCCATGTATATAGATATAGATACTGATGTAGATATAGCTAACCCAAATGTCTTTCTGATCAATGGTCTCCGTTATTTCACAGAAATGTTCAGATTTTTTAGTTCTTTAGGATTAAATGTAGATTTTGTTTTCATTTCTGCTTTCTCACCACTTCACCTCACTAACTCTCAGCTCCAGCACTGCTCTCTCAGGGAAGTTTTCGCTGATGTTTCTCCCTGTCCCCAGATTAGCTTGGTTATTTTCTCTTAGACTCTCTCAGGCTGCACCCTACTTTTCCATTATAAGATTAACCACATTGTATTTTGGATTTATGTTTAGTTGGTGTAGGTCAACTACACTCAGTGGAATGTGATGTCACGGAGCTTGTCGACTTTGCCTGATGTTTTATTCACAGTGCCTTATAAAAAGCACACTATATAATAAATGTTCGAAATTCATATGAAAGAGAGGATGAGAGGAAGAAAAAGAAGAAAGACCTTTCCTTAAGATTTCTTCCAACAGTCTGAACGTTAATGATTCTATTGACCAGTGATGATTTCTTTGCAGCTAAATATGGATATTTAGCTCGAGACTGACTTGTCAATAACTGAATATTATTAGCTCTGAATTTGAAGGGAGTCTTTTATTACCTGTTGGTTTTTCCATATGGAAACCAAACTTTGCATTTTCCTGTGTTCTTAGCTTTCTTCCTTAATATTGCTTTTCTTTCATTCCTCCCCACAGGCTCCTTCCCAAACCTTCAGTATCTTTGTTCATGGGGTTATCTGTTACATAGGTTGATGGGAGGCAATGCAAAGACTGTAGTATCAAGCCTGCTGGTATAATAATACTGTCACAGAACAAAGGATACTTTACTATCTCAATTAGTTTATATACGTGTGTGCTCCCATTAGCTAATGAGCTACTCAAAGAAAGGTGCTGTGCTATGTTTGTACTGGATATCTTCCTTTACTTTCTTTGGGCCCAATTTCTATCTTTTCCATTCTGTTCTGGGCTCCAGGAGGTTTCTGCGTGGGTTCGCCTAGTGGGAAGGACCAGCAGGAGATCACAGGGTGAGGGCACAGTGAGTTTGGGATTGATTCCCTCACTCCGGAAAGATGGCCCATTCCATCTAGGGATCTCTAGATTCTCGTCTTTAGGGCTATGGCTGGAAAGAGCACCCCACAGTTACTAGTTATGAGACACTAAATCATTCTTTGTTCTTTAATCAGTTCCTTTTCTTTGGCCCTGTTGTAAAGTACTACTTTCTGAATTCATATTTGTTTCCTCAGTGCCCAGCACAAGTCCTAGACTTTTGCTGAAAGATCAAATTAATTTTTATCCAAAATTCTATCTTACAAACCATGACTTTTGCTTTACTACCACTGTTTCAGAGACAGCAGGAATCAAAAGTAGACACTGGAGCGGTAGTTACTATTGAGATCCTGAGAACAGTGACAGAATCTTAAAGTCCTTACTTGAGGCAATGGTTCCTTTCAATGTAAGTAAGTGTTAGTTCCTAGACCATATCCTAGTTGTGTGGCCCAAGAGAGAGAAGACATACTCTTTCTGAATTATTTTTTTAAAGATTTTATTTACTTATTTGACAGAGATAGAGAGAGAGAGATAGAGAGAGATCACAAGTAGGCAGAGACAGGTGGCGGTGGGGGTGGGGTGGGGTGGGAAGCAGTCTCCCTGCTGAGCAGAGAGCCCAATGTGGGGCTCAATCCCAGGACCCTGAGATCATGACCTGAGCTGAAGGCAGAGGCTTAGCCCACTGAGCCACCCAGGTGCCCCTCTTTCTGAATTATTCTTTAAATATTCTTTGAAAGGTGGAACTTACTATATTGCTTAAATCTGATCCATTGCTAGTAATGTAACTAACAGCTGACAACATTTCCATCTGGAATTTCATTAAGGGATATCTTGGAAAGAATGTGCAAATAAATAAAAAAAGAAATGAATAAAAGGGTAGGTTTGAACACCAGTTCTCTTGTTTGTGGCGTGTAGTATGTTAGGTGTAGTGTTATGTTTTGGTCCTAATGAGTGTACTTTTCAACTTTTTCCATCTACAAGCCAAGTAGAGCTCCTAAAGAATGACTTCATGTCCACAGGAAACAGAACCTTGGCAGAATGAGTTTGAAATGTCCCTTTCTAGTTTTATGTTTCTTCATATGCTTCTCCTCTGAATACAGTTCTTATCCTATTCTGTTTACTAATTTCAAACATTACTTGGATGCTGAGTTTTCTCCAGATACACATGCATTTTTGGTGCTGCAGCCAGTAGGTATTTGCCATTATTTGAATTTCCCACAAACTATAATAGATATTTTTCCCGCTTATATATCCCCATTACTCTGGTAAATCCCTACAGTGTTTCATGTGTGTTCAATGCTAGAGAGTATCATTATATTAGAAGAGAACCTAGCGTTGAATATAGATAAGGACAGCAACTGTATTTTGTTTCCCAGGTGCTCCCAGACAGGAAATGACTTTTTTGGTGATTTTACAGTCGATCTGAAAACAATGTGTAAAAAAGTGTGGAGAGAGTACACACAGCTTTCTTTGGTTTCATTTCTAAGGAGAACAGCTATAATATTTCCTGACTCTAAGGAAGACAGTGTATCATGTTAGTTCCTTCCATAGTTTTGCTGTGCCTCACGTAAAACCCAGAACTTACCATTTGTTTCCGGTTCTTGGTTTTCTCATCAGTAAAAAAGTGGATGACAACAAAAATACTCTTATGGCTGCTGTGAGGACTGAAGAACTTAATGTAAGTAAAGCCTGTGGAACATTGCCTGGCAGTTAGTAAGTTCTCCAAAGATATTAAGTATTATTTATCCTGAAGTCCCATAGTATTTTCCGTAGCTTTCAAAATGCGTGGATATTTCTGCTTTCTATTTAAGTTGTTTTCGTAAAGACCATATCATCGGTACAAGATTCAAAAATGGAAGGTTTCATATTCTGTTCGTATCTTCCACGCAGTATGCATCTATTACCACAATAATTCTTACTTTATCAGGGGTGCAGTCAATATTTGCGCATAAAAGAGATGCATTTTTAAGGAGCATTTGTAACTTTATGTACCTGGGAAAATTGATGACTTTGAAATTCTCCATTATTTGTTTCTAAAATAAAATAAATTTTATCATTTTGCTGAATGATATAATACAAGCTGTAGAGTTTCGATTAGCCCTTGGAAAGCAGGACTATTTTCATGAAGTGTGAATGTTGCCTGAGAACGGCAATTTTGAAAATGGGAACTTAACAGAAAGTTAAGATGGTAAAAGGGAAATAAGACTGAGAAAATTAATCAAACCACAGTTCTTTAAGTGTCATTCTGAGGTGACCTACCTTGTAGGAACTAGCACTCAAGACAGCATGCAAAAGAACATTCACTTCCCGGGCTGTTCTCCCTGTGGTTAAATAAAAGGAAAGGAAAAAGAAAAGAGTACACATTTTACAACTAAGACCATCTGAGAATCTTTGCATAGAGTAATAAAAAGAAAACTGGACTCTATGTGGCCCTGGGGGAGCTGTTTCTCCCTTCCCCATATGTCAGAGAAAACTTAAAAAAAAAAAAAATTAAAGTGCTTTTAAACAAGATAATCTGTTGAGTTCTTTATAAACCTAATAAACTTTAATTATCATCATTATGTTTTTTCTCATTGGGGATGGACTGCTTTTAAATTATTTTCAATTATTGCATAACCATTACGCTTCATGAACAGGCAAATAGAGGCATTTGTTAGATGTTAAAAACAATTAGCTTTGATTCTGCTATTTGTGCATGACAAAGGACAGTGTTTATGAGTATGAGTTAGAATTATAAGGACTTAGCCACACATTTCCATGTTGCTCTGAAGACAGTGCTTTGTGGCTAAGAAGTTTTTCAAGGATTTTGGTGAGCTTGAGAGAATTTTTTGGTTTAACTAATATAAATGGATCTAAAAGTGTGATACCTTGAGATGACTAAATGTTCAGCTACTCAGCTGGCAACATCTTAGCCGAGAATTCGTACTCTGGGCAAGCAAGGTAAAGAACTAGGAGTTAAAGCTTTCATGTGTACCAATATATGTAAATCAAACTCTCACATAGTATGGTTTAAACTTACACAATGATGTATGTCAATTACTTCCCAGTAAAAGTGGAAAAAAAAACAACAAAAACACCCTTTTATGTTTTCACTGTTTTCTTTAAGTATGTGTTTTCTTCATATTTGCTTATCGATTTGTTGATGTTCAAAGAAATTAGCAAGTGTCTTTTGATTTGGGGTAGGAATTAAAAAAAGTGATTTTAAGTTCTTTTTCAACAAGATAGACAAAGCGTCATTGCTGTTTCCTGAAACTGCACTTACAAAAATGAATTCCCCAAATTCAAAGATGAGGGCATGCAAGAATAGGAAACCAAGTTTGTTTGGCCACAGAGAGGCAATATCTTAAATTTTTTTTTTCTTCTGTAGGATTTCCCGACTTGCTGTGCTTTATTTCTGATTCTAGAGCCATCATTAAGAAAAACCTGCTTTCTTTTATTTGTGCCCCCATATTGTATTCATTTTCCCCTAAGCTATTATGAGCAATCAGGTCCCTAAACTGAAGCTCTTTTGAAAAGTCTGTGTCTTCAATCTCTTTGTAAATATGCTAAGTTATTCTCCCTGCCAATGAGCAGAGTTAATGGAGATAATATGCAAAGTGTTATCCCTCTGCTATTTACACCTCTCCCAAAAGGGAGCATTATTTTTAAGTGAATATACTTAATATAAAGGTGGGAATGTTGAAGAATCACCCTGCAATTGCGTAGCTCATCGAGATGTGCTGCCCTAGCCCAATTCTCATTTTGATTTATTTAAGTTTGGAAATAACAGTATTAAATTAGCAAAGACAAGCAATAAACAAAGCCCTGGAGATGAATTAGCCATTGTCTCTGGTCCATTAATCTCCTCTTCAATTCTAGAGAATTGTGGCTCACCCAGACCCGAAGATCAAATAAAATGCCTAATTGGGAAAATCCTAAACAAGTGTGTCCTGGGGAGCTTGAATTTATTTGTCACCCGCTCAAACAACTGTGTTGTTTATATAAGTCTTTAAAACCCTGATACTTTTCCGCTACTATATCTTAATCCCTGGTTCTTTATGCTCAGGAGGGCAATTTAGAGTTGTTTTCAATTAACTAGAATGGAGAGGAGGCGCTTACTCCAAAAACAGATAGCTATACAGCGAGTATTTTGCTAAACATGCTGTGTGGTTTAGATCTCAGCGTCAGGTTTGGGACATGCTTTGGAATCTCCTTGAAGGTAATGATATCTGTGCTTTGGCACTTTTAATATCAGTAATAAATTGTGGAACACAATTAAGGACAGTCACAATTAAGGACAGAGGATGGCCAGGGAGGTTGAGAGGTTAAGGCTAGACACGAATGTGAAGTAAGGAGCTGAGATAATTATCTGGAATGGCAACCCCTATCAGGCAATACTTCCTTTCAAATACGCAGATAACCTGCAGATAATGGAGATCAAACTTTTTATTTAACACAGTGAAACAGAACGAAAAATCAATGTACGGAATATTGTTGACACATGGGTGCGGCATTCATTTTCACAGCTTAAAATGCACAAATACTTTTTGTTATAATGAGAAAGCTAAAGAATTAGAAACTGGAAATCAATGGATGAGCAGAGAAACAACTACACATACTGGTAATATTTACTATCTCAACAATCATTTAAATGCAGTAGTTACGGTGCATAGTAATTTTACAGGGACTATGTCATTTAATCCCCACAGTGAACCAGGGGCAGGTACTATTATTAACCCTATTGTGTAGATGAAAAAATAGCTGCTTCCAGAAATTAGGGATTCACCCAAGACGGGTCAACTGGTGGGGATCAGAATTCGCTCTCCAATCTGTCTCTTCCAAAACCTGTGCAGTTCCTACTAAACTGCAGGGCCATTATCACCAAGGTTGCAAAACTGGTAGCAGGATTTGCTGAAGGGATTGGTTAATTTGAGTAGAATAAGAATGGAAGTTAAAAAAGTATTACTGAACCTAGGCGGGACAGAGGTGAGTTAGGAATAGGGGAATCTATGAAGGAATTCTCTAGTTAGCAATATCTATGCAACAGTCAAAACCCACTTAAGTCTTTACTATATGTTTGCTAAACTGATTAGTTATAGGGCATTTATTTACACTATATGGTAATCCTCTAGCGTGGCTCCCTATTTTCAAGCACATTAGTAATCTTTGCCTTCAGTTACAGTTATTATTATTGGAGCAACATATTAATGTGCTCGTGAAGGCTGGATATGAATCAAGTCAACTTTTTTTTTTAAGATTTATTCATTTATTCATTTGACAGAGATCACAAGTAGGCAAAGAGGTGGGGAAGCAGGCTCCCCACTGAGCAGAGAGCCCAATGCGGGGCTCGATCCCAGGACCCTGAGATCATGACCTGAGCTGAAGGCAGAGGCTTAACCCACTGAGCCATCCAGGCGCCCCGAATCAAGACAACTTCTGTGCCATACTGACTTTATTCCCCCATTATCGATCGGCTATACATTAATGTGTTTTAAAGAAATACTCCCTGGAACAGAACAGGCAGTATTTAAATGAAGAACGGTGTAGAGGACAGGGGTTATGTAGTGATAAACAGTCTGATGAATTAGGCATAGCGTTTTTGAATATGGTTGCTATACAGGCATGTCCACTGCGATTTGATTGGATAATTACATCCCAAATGGATCATTTAAAATATTTCATTTGATTTATAGTAATTGCACTGCTATTTAGAAAGTACAGCTTACTTGTGTTTCTCATCACAAGAAACACAATTTATAAACTATATGGTGATAGATGTTAACTAGATTGATTGTGGTGATCATTTCACAATATATACAAATATCGAATCCTTATGTTATACCTGAAACCAATATAAAGTTATACCTAAATTGTCTCAATTTAAACAGTTAACAAGGTATGTCATTTGCAAATATCTTCTCCCATTCTGTCAGTTGTCTTTTGATTTTGTTAACTGTTTCCTTTGCTGTGCAAAAGCTTTTGATCTTGATGAAATCCCAATAGTTCATTTTTGCCCTTGCTTCCCTTGCCTTTGGCGATGTTCCTAGGAAGATGTTGCTGCGGCTGAGGTCGAAGAGGTTGCTGCCTGTGTTCTCCTCAAGGATTTTGATGGATTCCTTTCTCACATTGAGGTTCTCCATCCATTTTGAGTCTATTTTCATGTGTGGTGTAAGGAAATGGTCCAATTTCATTTTTCTGCTTGTGGCTGTCTAATTTTCCCAACACCATTTATTGAAGAGGCTGTCTTTTTTCCATTGGACATTTTTTCCTGCTTTGTCAAAGATTAGTTGACCATAGAGTTGAGGGTCTATTTCTGGGCTCTCTATTCTGTTCCATTTATCTGTGTCTGTTTTTGTGCCAGTACCATGCTGTCTTGATGATGGCAGCTTTGTAATAGAGCTTGAAGTCCGGAATTGTGATGCCACCAACTTTGGTTTTCTTTTTCAATATTCCTTTGACTATTCAAGGTCTTTTCTGGTTCCATATAAATTTTAAGATTATTTGTTCCTAGCAAACTCAACACCCAAAGAACAAATAATCCAATCAAGAAATGGGCAGAAGACATGAACAGACATTTCTGCAAAGAAGACATCCAGATGACCAACAGACACATGAAAAAGTGCTCCACATCACTTGGCATCAGGGAAATACAAATCAAAACCACAATGAGATATCACCTCACACCAGTCAGAATGGCTAAAATTAACAAGTCAAGAAATGACAAGATGCTGGCGAGGATGCGGAGAAAGGGGAACCCTCCTACACTGTTGGTGAGAATGCAAGCTGGTGCAACCACTCTGGAAAACAGCATGGAGGTTCCTCAAAATGTTGAAAATAGAACTACCCTATGACCCAGCAATTGCACTACTGGGTATTGACCTTAAAGATACAAACGTAGTGATCCGAAGGGGCACGTGCACCCGAATGTTTATAGCAGCAATGTCCACAATAGCCAAACTATGGAAAGAACCTAGATGTCCACCAACAGATGAATGGATAAAGAAGATGTGGTATATACACACAATGGAATACTATGCAGCCATCAAAAGAAATGAAATCTTGCCATTTACGATGACATGGATGGAACTAGAGATACGTATCATGCTTGGCAAAATAAGCCAATTGGAGAAAGACAACTATCATATGATCTCCCTGATATGAGGAAGTGGAGATGCAACATGGGGGGGTTCAGGGAGTAGGAGAAGAATAAAGGAAACAAGATGGGATTGGGAGGGAGACAAACCATAAGTGACTCTTAATCTCACAAAACAAACTGAGGGTTGCTGGGGGGAGGGGGGTTGGGAGAGGGGGGTGGGGTTATGGACATTGGGGAGGGTATGTG